TCCCGGACGAGGTCACGATGAAGTGCTGAACCGACGACGCGCAAGCAGAGCAGCAGCCTGCAATGGTAGGCACGCAGACGCGGCAAAATGTTTGGCGGGAGTCAACAAAAGAATGTGACGAAACTGATGGGACCATGCGAGGGGGCGTCTATGAGTGTCATTTCTTTTCTTTTTGACTTTCCCTTGTTTTCTTTCTTGTTTTTTTATAGTAAGTAAAAAATAAATAAAAAGGTGAATACATATGTCGTTTAGTCAGGGCAGTTGTGAAGACATTCTGTTTGGATGGATGGTTGAGAAATCTATCTAGACCAAACAAAGATTTCAAACGCCCAAATTTGAATGCTCAGGGTGAGTGGCGCATTTAGAAAAAAAAGATTTGGATGGCTTCTTACATTATCTTCTATCTCTAGCCCGCTCCTTTTAAGCTTCTATGGTACTATTCTGTATAGGGGAGGTTAGGAGGGGTTTCATGCTTCGATTAGCGGTAGCTGGGCTGCAGCTCACCTCTACCCCGATGCTAGATCCACCCATGTCTGGGTTACAATTGATTGCTAGGACTAGGCGAGTCTAGCAGGGTACGATCCAAATAAATTCTAAGTATTTGATCATGTTAGCTATGTAAGCCTGAAACTCATGGATGTTTTGTCATTGGCTGTGCCGGCGAGTGGTCAACGAGCAAAAAGACTTGCACAAGATTTTGTACGTTGAGACCTTAATTTGTTCCATATTTTATATTCGCTATAAGGCCTTGTTTGATAGAGCTCCTTCTCAAGGGCTCCTCCAAAACGACTTCGGCGGCTCTTCTTTTTTTCCTTGAAAAACGGCTCTAAACGGTTTCTCCTACTAACCCGTTTGGTAGGGTTTCTTCGCAAGAGTTAGAGCCGGAGCGACGGAGAAACCTACCAAACAGGCGTAATAACAAAGGTGTCACTCTACTGTAGAATGATGAGCATATTATGAAATAAAAATGATTGTTAACAACATTTCCAAATATAAGAATCACATCTCCCAAGCCCCAACGGCTGGGACTCCAGTACTCCACTGAACCCACTCCTGCCGCGTGGCGCACGTTTAGTCGCTAGCTGGGTCCGGCAAGCGACGCCTTTTAACCTGTTTGGCTCGACTTGTGTTATTTGTTTCTAGCTTATTTTAACTTATTCTCTCACACAGAATATTATTGAATCAGTTGAAACTACAAACCAGTCGGTACACCGTAGTTTTATCTTGGGCGTCCCGCGTCCGGTCCGTGTACTAGATCACAGGCTCACAGCCAAGCCAAGCAATCGTTTGCTTTGCTCCGGGTCCACAGCTCGCAGCGGCGTGCTCCCACGGCCCCGCCTGGTCGGTAACGGGCATGCAACGAGCACTCGAGCAGCGGGGTTTTCATTGTGCGCCTCACTGCGTGGGACGCAGGCGCACGACGGCGCATGAACGCACACACGGTCACGGCCGGCACGAGCACGACACGGCACGCGCGGCACGGTGGCGCGCCGTCCGGACCCGGATACGGATAGCCCAGAGCGGGCGGAGTAAGAGCTGACGTGCGGTGGTTGCCTGGATCCACGTTTCCACGAGGGGCGAAGGTTCAGTAACGCGGAAGTATCCAAGTTCGTTCAGATTAAAAAAACGCGGAATGTCTATCACATATCTTAAATGTAGATGGCTAATTACACACGGTTGGGTAAGAAACGCGAGACTAAACTTTAAACTTAATTAGTCCATAATTGCTGCCCTGCTGGCCAAAATCCAAAAATTTTTGGATCTAAACGGGGCCTTACTAGCAGCCTGCTGCCCTGCTGGAAATTGTATTATAGTGGAGTCAAAAAGAGAAAGCAATGAGGGTAGGGCGTCTGAATAAGGTTTCTTTAATTTTCTTTTTGACTCGTCATTGAACGTGATCAGCTATCACTACTTTCGTTGATTTGTTCATTCTGATTATAAGTCGTACATATATGCACGCACGAGTTATTAAGTCAAAACTATCGAAGAGTAATATATTAAGTATGTGTGCATATATCTATAGACGTTTGCGTAAAAAAAATAAAAATTCTGGTTTCTATTCCCTTTATTACAAAGGAAAAAAGGCTGAAAGTGTATATATATGCAATCGTGATTATGAATTATTCTACTTTTTATTAGGTGGTGTACCCCGCAAAAAAGTTTGCATTGTACGGTTTCCTCCTTTTTATAAATAAATGGGTGACACATTGTGAGTGGTATTGGATGAAAGAAACGTGGTTTTGTAATTTGTTATGTAATGTCGAAACAGAAATTATTACTCGTGTACTGCCTAAAATTGACTAGAATTGCTAGCTAGGAAGCTATGCAATGTTACGTACCTTAACTCAGACAGAGCTTAAGACGACTCGTTAACACAAAAGCACTGCTCCTCCATTCGTTTCAAAAAACTTGTAGTCTAGCTTCGTCCTATACAAACATTTCTATCTTTAATCATCAAATCTTATAAGGGTAAAAATACAATTTTCAAACACCAACTTACATGATATGATGATAGTCCAATCTTCAATCTTATACTACAAACCAGAGTAATTTGGTGCCCTCCAATTACCAAAATGGGACAAATTTGGTCCTCTTGTTGGTTTCAAAGGTGGTTATCTATTATATAAAAATAATAAAAATCTATTAAAATTCATAAATAATTTATCTTAAAACAAAAACATATGAACTGATACATTTTAAGAAATGCTATCCACCTATTTATGATCTATATATAGTTATTTGAAATTGATTTATTTATGTGCTATTGCTTTTTTGCTCATAGTTGCTCATTTTTTATTTAAAACAAATTAGGCCCAAATGAAATTTTTTAAAAGAAAAAAGTACATGTTGCATTGTTTATTTAAAATGAAATAATTATCAATATTTAGAGACTCCGTATTTTTACCACTCTTAGAAAATAGAAAGACCAACTTTGAAATCTACTAATGGATCAAATTTCTCTGGTTTTGATAGTTATATGGTGTCTATTACTTGATTTGGTAGTTCAAGGTTGAAAATCGGACTTAAGTGCAACTTTGGGGCTGAAAAAGTGTACTTTATCTTTCCTGTAATTTTGTATAAGTCAACAACAAGTGGATTTTATTTTTATATATTGTGAAACATTTTTATGCTGAAGTCCAAAACATAAATATTGCGGTGTTGAACTATAGGAATCAAAAGAAAAATTATGGTTAAAAATAGAAATGTTTGGTTTCGGATAAAACTAAAACAACCGAGAACAGTAGTACTTTTTTATGGTGAGCTGTAACAAGCGAAGTCGAAGATCCATGGAGATTAGTTGTTTTTGTCTAAAGATATAACTATCACAACTCATGAAAACTGTTTGGTCTATTTTTTTATTACAATAAAAAGCACGCAGAAGCAATGCGCCAATGCCAGAATAAGCAAGAACATTTTCAATAAGCTCGTTTTTAAACTTGTTTATCTAAGAGAATATTAAAAAAACTATCCAATTTACTAGTAACGCTAAAGCCATGTTCGGTTCCTATGAATTGAGATGGATTATGAAGTGATTTAATAATAAAATGGGAAACACTTTTTAGAGAATATCTCCAAAAGTTCACTAAATCCCTTTTCTAATCCTTGATTTTTAGCAAGATGAGAAAAACCATCTCCAACAACTCCTAATCCATCCTCCAAATCTTTTAGAACTTACGAAAAGTCATCATGTTCCGCGTAAAGTTACGCGCTTCCGAGTCGTCGCGTATCTTCTCCCCGCAGCGTGTTTGTCGGCCAATTTAAAGGTGAAAGTGCGTGGAAAGAATAAAGAGTAGGTAAGGGTTCCTGATGAAAATGTACCAGAGAAGAAAGAATATATAAAAGTGGTCAGGATAATTTAGAAATAGTATAGGAATCCTGATATAAAATTGCCTTTTATATTTTAGGAGAGGATTATTAGAATTTTTTTGAAATGACCTTCTTTATTCCTTTCAATATTTTTTTAGGAGTTTGTAAAACTCCATGTTTTTGAGAGAAAATATGAGATATTCTTGGACATGCTCTCAGTTACTATTTGTTTCGGTGCTTTTATCTCCGTAACCGTTTGCGGCACAATCGGCTCCCGTTACTTGCAGTGTAATAGGTAGCATGCGACAACCAAACAAATCGCGCTTTTCATTGCAGTGTAATAGGTAGCGGCGACAACTCTTTCTATTTAGGTTACCACTCCGTACGGGAAACCAAATAGCACAAACTCATGGGATCCAAACAAGCTTAAAAAAAATTCAAGATACCCACCATACAAGACACGCTTGTGTTTGAAGCAACAAAATGGATTAAGACATGTAATAACTTAGTAAAGTGAACAAATTGCACTAGTTAAACAACAAGCCGTCGTCACATTGGGAACACGTCAGAATTAGATCGTCTCCTTGTTACCGAAACAAAATTCCAAACGAAAAGAATTTAAATTAAACGGCAAACGTAAACGTTCTCCCAAAAAAAAAATATCCCGATAAAAAGGGGAATTCGTGCGCCTTTTGGCGTTTGCTTCGTAGCGCACCCAAGCAGAAGGCGTCCCATGGCGGCACAGCCCGTGCTGTCCATCCACGACACGCAACCGCACGCACCCCTCCCTGCTCCATCTTAGCCGGCCGTACACCGCGGCCCCGGATCCAGCCGTCGGCCTCCCTCCCACCTCCCTTTATATACCCACGTACCCCCTCTGCCCCGTCCTTCCTAGACTACGCCGTCTCATTCTTCCTCCTCTCTCCACCACTCTCTTCCTCCCCAAATTCAGATCAAACGAATTCGTTAAATAATCTCAGAAAACACACGATTAACGGGATCGAAGGGATTAAAACGAAAACGTTCCGATCCTGTGATCAGGTCTCGGGGCTAATCGTGTGATTTTTTGGGGGTGTTTGGGCTTGTGATTTAGTGTTGGGGTTTCGGATCTGGAGGATTAGTTCTTCGGACTTCCGAGTCAGACCATGAATGAGCAGATGATGCGACCCCCGGCGCCGCTGCCGTTCCACCAGATGTGGGCGGCGGTGCCGGCGGTTCCCCCGCCGGCGATGGAGCCTCTGGTGGCGGGGTTCAAGCCGGCGCGGCCGTCGTGGAAGCGGTCGGCGCGGACGCCCTGGAAGCGCAAGGCCCAGCCGCCGGCGTCGTCGGTCGGCACGAGGTGGGGCGGCGCGGCGGCCCCGCGCAACACGACGTCGTTCCTGATCCGTGCGAAGCGGGCGGGGGGCGTGGCGTCGCTGGTGTCCCCGTACCCCGTGACGCCAGCGGTGCTCCCGACGCCCGTGCTGTCGCCGGCGCGGGAGGTGCTGGTGGAGATGGCCAAGGAGGCGTGGGGCGTGGACGGGTACGGGTCCATGAAGGGCCTCATCCGCCTCCGCGCCGACGCCGGGGACGCCGCCGGCGACGACTCGGGCTCCGGCGAGAGCGACGTGGAGGAACACGTCGAGGTGGAGCGCCGCCTGGACCACGATCTCAGCCGCTTCGAGATGGTCCACCTCCCGGCCGCGGCCGCGGCCGCCCTGGGCGGCGGCGGGGAGGAGGACGAGGAGGCGCGCGCCGCGAGGCTGGAGGAGGAGAACCTGACCCTGCGCGAGCGCCTCTTCCTGATGGAGCGCGACATGGACGACCTCCGCCGCCGGCTCCTGGCCGTCGAGGAGCTCTGCCGGGACCGCCACAGCGACGGCTGCGTGGTGGACGCCGCCACCGCCGCCGCCGACGAGGCAGTGCTCTCTGAGAGCGCGGCCGCCGTCGCATCCCCCGGCGCCGGCGCCGGCGAGGAGGCGGACACGGTGGACGCCATGGCCATGGAGAAGTGAAAGCATACAGTACCCGCTACCTGATCAGACAAGGCCCTCTCGGCCGTACTACTGAAACTGTACATACGGTTTCCATTTCCCTGTGCAGATGTCGCTGTGAAGAGTAGGAAGAAGCAGCAGCAGCAGCTTAGAAAGCTTTTAGAGTTTTACTCTTCGTTCGCTGCATCTTGTTAGTTTGATATCGTCTAGCTTGATTTCATTTCATGTTCTTGTAGAAAGAATCATCAGTCAGGAAAGAGGAAAGCCCGTGGACGACGACGGAATGTGCGGGGAGGAACACGAGATCCTGGTGTCCCCCTGCTCGTCCAGATCCTCAACCACTAGTCCCAAACTATTACCAGCTTTTTTTTAGTGCAGGCAGTAACCTGTTGTTTTGTTGTGAAGAAAATTGTTATTCCGAAATGTTCTTTGTTTCGTACTCCACCTGTTGTTTTGTTGTGAAGAAAATTGTTATTCCGAAATGTTCTTTGTTTCGTACTCCAATCTCTGATGTGATATACTGATATTCTGTGCTGTGCTCACGGATTGTTCCGTGATTGGGTAGGGTAGGTAGATGCGCGGTGGCGCCGGACTGGAGCATCTCTTCATCCGATTGACGAGCCAGCCGTTGGAACCCAATCACGAAATCTTTTTAGGCCTCGGTTAGATCCTCCCCGAAACTTTTAGACTTAAAAAATAATAAATATAAGAATTGTAACTTGTGAGATAAATCTTTTAAGCCTAATTCGTCCATAATTTGATAATGTGGCGCTACAGTGACACATATGTTAATGACGGATTAATTAAACTTAATATATTCATCTCACGGTTTACTCTGTAGTTTATTTTTTTATTAGGATCCGAACATCATATACGACAACCCGTGTACTTACGCGCTGATTTAAACAAGACCTTAGTTGTTCGTGTCCGGTGTGTGTGCCCAAGACTTTCAAAGTGCCGCAGTTGCGGGTTGCCGGTTGGGTGGTGAATGGTGATGGATGCCTTCAAAGCCCGTCCGGTTGGATTTATTAGTGGTATTGTGCCGTGCAGACTGGCAGCTTGCAGTTGCAGCTAGGCCGGCACCGGATGGCTGGGCGCAAATGGGCAATGGACAAGGGACGCCCCGGGCGCTCCGAGGAGGGGAGAACTGGAGGAGTGGTGTATGGCCGTGGCAAAGCGAGGGGGGAGGGAGAATATAGCATCGGGAAAGCTGTTGGCACGAGGTCTCGAGGAAGATGCTGAAAGCTCTGACTCGCCTTGGAGCCGGCGAGACCGGGGCCTTCGTATTTTCTTTTTTCTTTTAAAGGAAAACCTTTGAATATTCGCCTGGCTTTCTATTCATTTTTCTTTTCGTTCTCTCAGCTCTTCTAAGATTTGGCGCCAAGATTACCAACTTAGTTTATTTTTGTTCAGTATAAAAAGAACACCGTTCCCAGTATTTTCGTTCCGTTCGCTTGGTCCTGGTCAGGACTCGGAACACACCTTGTCACCAACGACTTGACCAGTCCAAATGGAACGATCCCAGTAGAACGGCACAAAGCATGAGCCAGATGTTAGCAGCACAGGGCCCTGTTTATTTATCTTATAATCCGTACTTTTTAACTTATTTTTTCAGTCGGAATAGTGTTTTCTCTCCCAACAAATCAGCCGGAATAATATTTCAATTTGTTTTTTCAGCGAAACGAAGATCGTAGCACAGTGTTCCCAACACCAACCAGGACTGGACCTGCACCCAGATCGTAGCACAGCGTTCCCAACACCAACAAGGACTTCCCAACACCAACAATGACTGGACCTGCACCCAGATCGTAGCACAGCGTTCCCAACACCAACAAGGACTGGACCTGCACCTGGACGACAGCTCTGCCTCTGACGCGACGAATCCAAGCTCCAAACCAAACAATCATCATGCTGTTCATGAGCCCGAGCGAGATGCGATCCAAACTCGAAACGGCTCGATCGTATGTGCCCGTGCGCGCGTGGCCGTTGATGCGATCCAAACTCCAAACGGCTCGATCGTCGGCTCACCGACGACAGGAACCGAGCGGCATGGAGATGGAGCGCGGCCGCACTAAACGTAGAGTAGTAGCTTGTGACTCTAATCGGCAGGCCCACACCCACCATCCTATATTGATTTTGATCGAGTCGGTTGTCCATTCCCAAGAGGGACGTGACGTAGCAGATTGCCAAAACAATGGGCTGCACCAGCACCTCCTCCTCGGATAGATAGAGATCACCGTAACGTCCCTGCGTACAAGTTGCCTAGTAGTAAGCCAGTAACAGGTTTTTAGCGCCCACGGAGATTTTGGAACTGCCCTGGATCGACATCAGCACGTACCTTAAACCTAGCAAGAAATTTTTGTCCTGCCACAGCGGAAAAAATTACGATATGATCTGTGTTTTCTCTTTCAAAGCGCGAGTAAATCGATCGTATATACTCGTAGTAGACTATAGTGTATGGGGCATGAGAACGCACATTACCAGTACTAGGATGGAAGTGACGATGGAATGGAACGATACAATAATAGATGTGAAAGTACAGAGTTGACCTTGCAATCTCTTGCTTTTCTTCTATAAATTATGGCCCTCGCTTTTTGTCACCGAAGGCAGTAAGATAAGCATCTTATTCTCGATGTTTTGTTATTTTGTCTGTGGTATTGCAAGTCCAGTGCGACATCCCGTTTACAGTAAACCTACCTGCTGTCGAGCTGTGGCTGGGCGCAGGAAGATGTACTCCTATCTGCCTGGCCTGCCTTCCTGCCGCACAACGCAACTTTTCCAGCTTCCAAACTTGATGCTCACAAATGCTGGAGCAACCTGTCTGTCCTGCCAATTATTCTGCTCCAAATTAAGGTATTTATGCATTTTGGATGAAACTGAAGAACGAATCCCATGTAGTTGCAGTCAGAGGTCTCAGCGCCACGCTAAGTTATTTAAGCTTATTTGCCACGCTGGTCTCTCTATCATCCTGGCGACACAAGCAAACGGGATGGCTTAGAGAAGTAGGGAATAAAAGTCAAGCTATATAAGGAGGCAGGCCTTACTTGCATATGTGACAATGCGTGTACAATCGTAATGCGGTGGAGTCAAGCACGATTTGTACGTCTTCCAACCTGAAGAGCGAGCTCGGTGTCTATCTTGAGAGAGATGTCAAGTGCCTTCACAGAATGCGTTAATGCTCCACTGGAACAAATCAAATAAGTCGTTGAACTAACTGTATAATGATTCCAGCGGGGGGTTGTAGTTGTACATTAATTCGAAATACATCAGTGACCTAAACACCAGACAAGCTCTGTCCCATTAAATACAAGTTTAAATCAGTCAGAACCCTGAAAAAGAAATAGTACCTTGAAATATAGGTGACTCCCGTTTCTCCGATTTTCTTTACTGTATCAACTGTCACATTTCCAGACGCCTGCAGAAAAGAAATATATTACTACCTCCTAAAAAAATGTTACTACCCTTCAGCACCCAAATCTGCCAGTAACAGAGAGAACTAGTCGCTTTCAACAAAACAACATTACCACTAGCACTACGTCATATAAGAACTGTAAGCCTTGCAAAGTTGAATTTGCATACCTCAGTCTCAAATCTACCATTTATCAACTGAACTGTGTCTTTAAGCATCGAAACATCTACATCCCCATTTGCAAGAGGAACAACCATATTGTCCAACATTATATGGGTTAATGAAGTTTTGTTCTCAGCAGCATACTTCAACAAATCTGTCACTTCTTCAATTGTCCTTGTCTCGACCTAATTTATTAAAAAAGGCACATGTCAAGATTTGTGATTTTCTTTCTTTTGCTATGGGAATATGTGGACATATAGTTGAACAAAACATCATAGAAACCAAATCAGTCTAAACAAAGGTGAACCACAAAAATATTAATACCTAGACACATAGGTTTGTCCTTTTCAACTTGCGCATCAGTAAAAAAGTACCTACCTCAACAGGAATTGTGAGTTTTTCCTTCTGCAGGAATTGATCAACAGATCTCATTGCATTTGCAATCCCACCGGCAACAGAAATATGATTATCTTTTATCATAACCATATCAAATAAACCAAGCCTGTGGTTCTTTCCACCACCAATCAGTACCTACATGAGACAAAGGGCAAGCAAAATTGCAATGAGGACTAAGAAAGCAGACCGAAGAGGCAGTAGGGGTAGGCCCCTCCTGTTTTACCTCAAAAAAGCAGACCGAAGAGATGAACAATAACAACGTAAAAAAGGTATGCTTACTGCCCACTTGTCAATCAGACGTAAACCTGGGGCGGTTTTCCTTGTTTCCAATATGCATGCTGGACAGGCAGCATCAGTCATAGCCTGGACAGAAGAACAACAGAAGCTTTACTGACATATCAAATGACAATGATGTGATCTAAAAGGATAGGAGGATTGTGAAATATAAAATCTGAAGAACTAGCATTTGACAGCTATTGTGCCAATAAAAAAAGCAACAAAGGTGCAAGTTCCGAGACAACAACAAAAAAAACTTTTTGGCTGGAAGTATCCAAATGGCTGGAGATTAAATATTATGCATGTGCTGGACATAACAAGAAAATAATCGAGGAACACATAGTGACTCTCAAACTGTAGCATAGACAAGGCCCTAGGAGTCTAGGACAAAAAGGAAAAACATTCCAGTTTATCCAAGGAGCAGCTTAATCATGTAAATAAGGGCAGAAATAACCTTTGTTAGGGTCGCAATGCCACTCATCCGCTGCATGAAATTTAGCACAACCCTTTCAGCAACGATGATGCTCCGGGCACACCCTTAATACAAAGATAGCATTGGGGAAAATGGTTTCACTTAAAAGCATTAACAAGTTCAAATTTTAAGTAGGCTGACTACATTTTACACACATTTTACCATATACTTTTCCAAACTGCAATCCTTTATGGACATAATTTCCATCACTTTCAAACCATTCAACCTGCAAATTCGGTCAACAAAGAACACTTGGTATAGTTAATACTGCCTGTAATATCTAGAGAACCAGATCTTTTCCCAAAACTCAAATGGGAGAAAAGATGCAAAGTAGATACCTTCAAAGATGGGTCAACCTGGTTAAATATCATATCTGCTAGGCTTATTCCAGCAATGACACCATCTGCTTTAGCAATAAATGTGGCTTTGGCTTCCACATCAGAAGGTATGGTGGCTAAACAAGATACATCCCCTGAAAGTGTTGACAAACAGACCAGATGTACATACATTAAAAAAATGCAAATAGTTTCACATAAAAATATGAAAACGTAGCATGCTGCATAGCAATTTGAGGAATGACCTAAGTGGACAGACTAGTGGTATTGATCTTTTAATTACGATACCCATTGTCTAAAGTCTGAGGAGGAAACTGAGTGGTTAAGAAAATAAGAATTAAGAACCTCGTGTGTTTGAATTAAAAATAGGGGCCCATATCACCATATGACAGAAACAATTAGAGCTTCTTGTAATGTTGAAGGGCAGGGACTAAGCAGTGCAGACCATGGAGACAGGATATAAATTGACTATCCACAGATGACAGATCCTTAACCATTCTCTTCATTCTACCTTCATGTATAATTTTTTCTACAGTACATACAGCACAAGTGTAGAGAAGAGGAATTGGGCCAACAGAGATTGTATTACATCACTGAATGGTATAAGTACATGTTACAACAGAGAGCGCACTCGCAGCACACAACGCAGCTCGTGGGCAACGCCGTGGCCGCCGCACCTGACCGCTAACTAACTCAGTCAAAACTGTATGTCTCAACAACAAGTAACCAAGAAGAAACCTGAACTGTGCATCCCATTCATAACAAATTGGACAAGAATCACAGCTCACATGACCTATGACATCCTACGGAAGTGTGCTGATTATTCAATGTGGCAAGGCTAATGTGCACAGTAAAGGTTTAAGAACACAGATTGCATTCGTATTTTCTTCTACTATTTGCAATCAGTTGTAGCCTAAAGTGACTGGACAGCATCATTCCAGGATATGAAAACTAACTTGCCTAGTACTCCGTCCTAATACCCCAGCTCTGCCAGATGCCACTGCGCTCATTGACAATGAGATGACCACACAGCAGCACAGGATCAGATTTTTGCACTAAGCGCCAGCAGCACTATATATCTGGTCGGTCGTTATCACGACATCCTGAGCCCAATTACGATCACAACACTAGAATGCAGGAATCAAATGATTTTGCGCTCCGCACCATGGAACACCGTAGTGCTAGAGAGCAGTGACAAACAGCTAGATAGCGCTCTCGTGGATTCCGAATCGCAAGGGGGGCGAACAGCACGTCAGCGTGACGCACCACGTAGTTTGCTGCGTAGCTCGGTCGCCTGGCGTCCTCTGCGAGGGCGAGCGCGATGACGGCCTTGAGGTCGTAGGTGGGGTGTGCCGGCGGCGCCACCGGCGGCGCGGGTGCCCGCGCCTCGGCGGACATGGGAGCGGCCTGGGGGCGAGCGGGCAGGCGCAGGAGGCCGGGCGGGAGCCGCTGGTGGTTAGAGCACGGCGATGGGTAGGAGGCGTGGAGGCTGTGGCGGCGGGCGAGGAGGAAGCGCGCGGGGCAAGGGGCTGGAGCCGTGGGGATCGCGGGCATCGCTCGCAGCTGGCGCGCCGGGCTGGGAGCTGGGACGCGAGCGAGAGAGGTTGGGGGAGGAAAGGAAGGGGGTGCTGCGAGGCGGAGTGGGGCGCCGCCTTTTTGGGTGGCCGGCGCGGGGCGCGTCGATTTTGTGATCTTTGGCGGCTGTTGGTGACGGCGCGCGGGGAGCCGTGGACGGGGGCGGGGCTCGCTGATCGAGAGCTGGTGGCCGCACCTGCACTGCACGGCAATACGGTATGATGGGTAGCGCTTGCGTGTTTTTACGCTTTTTTCCCTCGCGTGCGGTGTTTGCCCGGTGGTGGTGGTGGAGCGGCAGCTCGTCCGGCCGTGAGAAACTGCAATGGAAAAAATAACAGTATGGAGATTTTGGAGATATTTTTAAGTTTTCAAGGATTAGTGCTCCCCTAACTTATCTCCACTTCTTCCTTGGTGGTTTCTAGTGAAATTCAAAGCGCATTTGATTGGGAGCAAGTGAGTTATTTGGATTTCATCTATTGGTCACTGAAGTTCTTTGTCAAGCCAGATGATTTCAAGGTTGTAACTCTTGTCTTGGTATAGTTCCAGCTTTTGTGGTGAGCCCCGGGAATGCATAGATTTGTGAACCCATTTTCTATTGGTACTTTTTTTCTGGTGATGTTTTGGCTACCGTATAATGTGAACTCTTATCAGCATGTACTGTGTCACTGCTTTGTTCTTTGTACTGAAAATTTGGTGCATGTATTATGTGCCGCGCGAGGTAGAGATGAGATGCAATGAATGATCCATCGTGCTGTTCCTGTTATGGCACAATCAGGTTCTTCAAATGCTTTTAATAATGAAACCAAATACTAGTTTCCATTGTGACAGAGATGCTAAGTCTCTAATTGTGTTTCAGCCAATATTCGATCTTAACAAGTCGTACTATCTCTATCAAATTGGTGTCTCTGAGTACTTTCAATTGGATACCTCCTATTTTTTCACCGTCCGATTTTGGCCAACGAAAGATCCATCTTGTTGTTTGGTTCTTTGCATAGTAACACAAATGTAAATGAAGTAGTTCAAATTTGTCTTCCGCCGGTAACGAAAGTAGCTTTGTTTCATTTTCGTTTGCGTTACCTCAGATACATCCAAACAACACGCATGTTTTTTTCCGACCATCGTAAAATTTCTCTTATCTTGAATCTAAACAAGAATGGTACATTAGCTACCTACCGGGAATTCTTTCTTAATCTTGGAGCAGACCATAGCGAGTTTGATGAACAAATCAAATCAGGCGGCAATGCAGCTCTGATGGTTTAAATTTTCAGTCCGAGTTACAATGAGCATTTCGGATCAGATTCCGCGGCCAAATTTCCAAAGCAGCGTTCAACAAACTAGGGCCCCACACCATTCGTTGTGGTACTGTACTACTAGTCAATAAGTGCAGCCCAGCTGTGTTGAAAAAACGAGACGCAAGGGGTGAGTTTGCTCCATCCATTTTGGGTTACACGGGAACACTGAGGCGCGACGTGTCCTGCCACCTCAAGAGCCAAGATCAAGTATGCAAGCCTGCGTGTGCTATAAATACCTACGCAGAGCCCTTTTGATTTCTCGAGTAGGCCGGGGGCTACCGTCCAGAAATGGACACACTGCTCTACGACGGCGGCTCAAGATGGCATCCGCATCGGTTAGAACTCGCGGTCTGATCGTGTTTGTGCAGGCCATGGCGCTCATCTGCGTGGTGATAATGAGCGGCTGCAGCTCCACCTGCGAGGGACGGCGATGTGAGCGCCACTTCTTCTAGCTACTACTCTGTTGTTTCTACAGTATTTTGCACATCTGAAATTCTGAACGAGAAACATATATGTCGTCTTCTCAGATCGGCTAAAACCGTGGTTTCGTATAATCGTATGTATATGTGCATCTGTGCAGCTGATCTGCTCCCGTTCTTCCGTGAGGAGAAGCCGCCCATCGCGCTTCAACCGGTTCCGTGCTTCCTTCCGCGGTGCCCCAAGAATTAATGGTCTCTGTTGCTGATGCTGCGCATGAGAGCTTGTTTAAATCCAGTGTATAAAGTTTTGGGGTGTCACATCGGGTGTTATATGGGGTGTCGTATAGGGTGTTCGGATAATAATAAAAAAATTACAGAATCCGTATGTAAAACGCGAGACGAATTTATTAAGCTTAATTAATCCGTCATTAGCATGTGTGTTACTGTAGCACCACATTGTCAAATCATGGATCAATTAGGTTTAAAAGATTCGTTTCGCAAAGTAGTCACAATCTATAGAATTAGTTATTTTTTATAAACTATATTTAATACTTCATATATGTGTCCAAACATTAATAGGATGTCAAACTTTTGGAGAACTAAACAAGGCCTGAGTATATTCGAGGGTGCTTTCAGAATGTTGATAACAGATACTACTGTACTCAAACAACACCGTCGTGTCATGAACCGAATAATCTCAGCGGTTTGTAGAGGCAATAAAGACGCAACTCCGACGGAGTCGTCTGTTGGTGTTTCCTGCGCTCTGTTGTTTCGTTCACTATATGTTTCCAGGGTTATAAGTAAGTAAAACTGTTGTTGTGATTAATATTGGTGAATACCTGAACTGCAGCTCGGCCTTTCCCTCGTGCTTGCGACAAATTTCTCTTACAAAATAAATAGGTGTTTGGTTTGAGACTCAAGATGGTCCATCGCTTTCTCGCTTCTCATTTCTTTCGTTTGGTTCCTGAATGAAATGGATGGATCTATCGTCATCTTATTCTTCACCAGCTATTAATTAGAGGCTACTATTTAGGAAGCTACGACGGCCCGCGATTCTATAGTAAGTCGCATGAATCAAACAAAAGAAACTATTCTTTTCGTTCTAGAAACCAGATAAACAATTCTTCTTCTTTTTACACTATGGACATGAACCGTGTCAAAGTGGTTTTGACCGATTCTGTTTCTTGCCTCTCCTCTGCATTAGCTATTGCATTTTTTCTATTTTCTTTCTAAATACAAATTAAATGAATTGTATTCAAATTGATCTTCGTCCACAAAAGTTCTGTTTTTAAGCATTGTTCATTTATATATTTTTTATGAAAGAAAATTTTAAATCAGAATCTAGCCTATGAGTCAAACTGTTTCATAAAGTGATTCTAATTTATCATAAAGATATTTTTAAAGAATTCGAATTCAAAATATTTTGAGAGAATTCGAATCTAGCCTATGAGTCAAACTGGACACCCGCGCCTACACGCGGGGCCCGCGTTGCCCGACCCCACGCTGACTTCTACACACGCGGCGACCCCTCGTGCCCCCTCCGTTTTCCTCGCCCAAATGTATGCGCCAGCTCGACAATGCCCCAACAGCTGCAGCAGGCGGGTGAACACGAGATCTACTTTGCAACATCCAGATAAAACACTTGCAACATACGTCAAAATTACAGAAACACTTGCAACATACGTCCGAAACTACTGAAATATTTGCAACATACGTCTGAAACACTTACGAAAACACCTGAAAACACTTCAAAATCATTGCAAACATATGCAACATCTCGATAAAACACTTGCAACATATGTATGAAACATTTGCAAATCAAGATAAAACACTTGCAACATACGTCTGAAAAACAAATGCAACATTAGGAACAAACACTTGCAACATACGTGTACAATCATTGCAACATATGCAACATCCGGATCTACTTTTACAAGATCCATATGAAACACCTGCAATTTACCTTTGAAACATCTGAAACACTTGAAATAGACGCTTGCAACATGCGCTTTCAGCAAAAGCTGGCAGGTGGGCGGGCGGTCAGAGCACTCACAGCGGGATCAGGCGCTAGGTCATGATGGAGGAGGATGGCAGCGGGCGGCCGGCTGCACGGCCCATGGTGAGCGGCTGCTGCTGCCCCGGCCTAGCGAGTTGCACCCGTAGTGGAGGCGGCAGCAGCGCGACAAGGAGGCGTCCTGCGGCGAGGCGCCCCCGCGCTAGAGAAGGTCGCAGCGGGTGGGTGCCATGCCCCTGGTAAGCGGCCCTGCGCTGGAGAAGGCGAGTGGCGGGCAAGTCTTAGGAGCAGCTTGGGCCGATAGCTCACAGGCCTAGAAAGGTGGCGTCCAGACGGACGAATGCTCGCACCATAGCATTTCGGTTTTTCTAAGTGCATAAGATACCGTAGAGTAAATTTGGAAGAAGAAGCCGTTGCAGACGAAGACACTTCGAATTTGGGGTGCATAAGTGGAGCCTTACGAAATCCCATCGGACAGAATTGACTATCCCTTTCTGTTGATCAAGGGTTGTTTTGCTCTCCAAAATTCTTATGACATAGCTGTTGATCAAGGCAATATATAGTTGGGAGTTGGGACTGAGATGATTTTGTAAGACCGCTTTGTTCTCCGGAATTCCAAGGATAAAAGTTGTGAAGCAAGGGGAATATTTTAAGAGCACATGACGACGGTTTGCATCCATATAAAATCGTACAATAGTGATATAAAGAAAAGTGATGGTCTCACAAGACATTGTCATAGATGAAAAACAAGACCCGTTTGTTTGAACTGTTTAAAAAGTGACGAGTCTTCATGGACACGAGAAAGAAAACTCACGAGAGATGATTTCAGCATGTTACTTTTGAAGTCGTGATGGATAATTTCTTTTCTTTTTTTTACCCGTCACTTGGCTTCTAACACTATGCTAATATACAGGGGCTGTTTGTGACTGCTCCGCTCCTATTTTTGCAGATCTGCTCCACGAACTCTACCATAAAATTTGTGGAGTAAGTGATACTCTTTGGCATACAGCCTAGCTCCAGCACTAGCAATGAGTTGTTTCTATATAAATAGTCTATTATGCCCTTGATTGAAATTGTACTTGATATTTTCTGAGAAGAATAGAAAATAAATGATAGAAAATTAACAGAGCCCGTGTTTAGTTCAAAAAAAAGTTCTAAAAAAATGCTACAGTAGCCATCACATCGAATCTTACGATACATACATAGAGCATTAAATGTAGCGAAAAAAAAACTAATTGCATAGTTCGGTTGGAA